GCTGGCGGCTTTGTACCGGCCCCTTTTTATTCCCATTTAGTTACCTTAAGCGTAGGAAGCAGGGGTGCTCGCATTTAATAGACAAGGAAACAAGGCCCAGAGCTGAGGGAGGGACGCCCAGCGGGGGGTGCAGAGCTGGGGGAGGGACGCCCAGCGGGGGGTGCAGAGCTGACACTGACCCCAGGTTGCTGCTTCCATTGCCTGTTTTTTTAAAAAACAAACAAGCAAAAACGTGAGCGGTACCTTTATTTAAAAAAGGACCTAGTGCACACTGTACGTTGTGCACAGAACCTGGCTGGGAGCTGGGCTTCTGTGTTGCTTGGTCCTAGCGCTTTTCCTCATGACCTGTTCTGACCTCCTAGCACGCTCATCTACAAGTTCGGGAGAACGGAAGAGCTGTGGACCTGAGATCACTCTGGAACCTCATTTCCTCTGCCATGTCATATTTGTAGATACGTTTTTATTATCTTTTAATGTAGTTTTCACATCGTCAAATAGAATAGATTGCACATTAAATGTGTTGCTTTACACTCTTATGCTCTGAGTTTTGAAATAGTCTTATGAGTTTTCTGTTTGTTTAATGGCTAGATTGTTAATATGTTTATGAGAGTGTGCAGATAGATGGTGAGCATCAGCCTTTTATTCCTGCTTAGGCTTGGTCTGCGTCCTGAGTCAGGCGTGTCATCATACGATTTAGAGTTAACTGCTTTGCTTCAAAGTCTCCAAGATGTACCAGAAAGTACAACTCCGTGTAGCTGAAATAAGTGCCACGCCATTCAAAGGGTGTTTCAGCAAATTGTTATTTTGTCTTAAAAGTGAGGTTTTTTAAAGGAAATGTTTGTTCTTGTGTATTAAAGAAGTGGATTTTTATATGAAGAATTTTTAAATGCCCGAAGGACTAGTTTGAAAGCCTATTTTGGAAATGACCCTTGACTCTGATTGAGGAGGGGATCCCCGATGCACTGAGCTCGCTTTCGTGTGGTTCCGTGAAGACTGGAGGGCGCGGGCGGCTCAGCAGCAGCGTCCTGCGCCGCGAGGGTCGGCAGCGAGCAAGTCTGAGGAGCTGCGCTCGAAAGCACGACCCGCAGGCCAAGCGCGGACTCGTTTCAGGACAAAGTCCTTCCTGCCACGGGGGTGCTTACGGCCGGTGAGAAGTTAGGCTTTTGTCTGGGCTCCAGCTCTGGGCATGCGCCTCCGCTGGTGCCTCTGTCCTGAGACGCCATGGCCCCGCCAGACAGCCGTCCGCGAAGCTGGGAGCACCGCCCTAGTGTTCCTGCCGGAGTCGGGGGTCCCGGGCCCTGACCGCCGCGGCGGCCTCCTGGCCCTGCGGGTCTGTGTCGCACTTTTGCCTCCGGGGAATGTCACAGCCTTCCACAGACGGACCCTGTGGGTGAGCCACCTGCAGGCCTCGGCGCCCCTCTCCCCGGGACCACGTGCACGGGGAGATGCTGGCGCTGAGCCGGCTCCCTGTGTCCTGTGGCCGCCTTCCCTGGTGGCTGCTCTCACCATGTCAGTGCGTTTGTCCTGCTGCCAACATTGTCAGGCTAAGTACTTGTTCCCCCTCTCGTGTCGCCTGTTGCAGTAATTGCTCCTCACACATCCTAATGATTAAATCTTGGAGAAAACAGCCATACAAATTGGTTTGCTGTTTATTTCTCAGTTATTTGAGGGGACCCCGTCAGAGAAGCGCTTTCTCTTTATGAAGAAGGGTGTGGGAGAGGCTAGTCCCCACCTGCCCCTGCCGGCCCGTGAGCTGGCCCGGCCCAGTGGGGACGGACTAATCCACGTGGAGCCTGGCCCGGCCAGCACCGGCCTCCTGCGTGCCGAGCTGCGGTGACCTCCGGGCCTGGTGGCGTCTTCTGGACCGTGACCCCGCCCCCTTTCCACTCTCTAATTCATGGGCACCAGCCAGGCACCAGGATCCACTCGTCCTGCTGCCCAGCGTGTGCCTCAGACGTAGCTTCCTTCCCCTTAAACCAGCTGGGCACACCTCTCCGTTCGGTCTTGTTCTCTCTGCTCACGGAGTTGGTGCTGTCTCGGTGTTTCCCTGGTCTGCGTGGTCACCGTCGGTGAGGCAGCCAGGAGACCAGGCAGCCCCGGGAGAGGCATCGCAGGGAAGTCCCGGGCTGTCCACCTACCGTGCGGCGCGGTGGCCCCGACGTTAGATGCGCGTGGATACCCTGGGAGTATGGGTGCCCCCAAAGCGGAGGCCGGCCTCCGGCACTTGTTTGAGGATCTGCACACACAGTGAGTGGCAGGAAGGGAAAGCGTGTGGCATGGCTGTGGGTGGCCCCCCGGCTGTGCCCCAGCGTGAGCGACCTGGCCGGCTCCTTCCCCAGCGGGAACGAAAGTGAAGGGTTGTAAACAGTACGTGGTAGGGGATGCTGTTCCCATGCTAAACCTGCCGGGGGCAGTCCTTGCTGCTGCCGGGCAGCCTGTTGCTGGTGGAGGGTGTGAGTCCGCAGACAGCACGAGGTCCAGGCACTGCGTGAAGTTCGGGCGAGTCCTATGGTCGTAGGGGACCACGCAGTCTTTGAGGCTGTCGTAGACCGAGTAGGAGCCTCCCTGCACCAAAACGGAAGAGGCCCAGGCTTCCGTCCTCGGGCCCCGTCTCCTAACGTCCTTTTCCTGCTCCACTGACAGCTCACACTCACCGAGAACTTCTCCATCCCGTCCCCCTCTCAGCCTGGAGGCGGGAACTTATACCTGGAGCAGGTCAGCCCCGGCCCAGGCCCAGGCCGGATGGCGGCTCAGGCCCTTCTCCTGGTGGCATTTCCCTGCTGCTCTCGACCTGCGAGCCTCCAGAAGGTATGCCCTGGCCAAGGAGCTGGACGAGGTTAAACATTTCCCCCGTAAAGTCTTCTGTGGGTGCCTCCTATCAAAGGCCTGATAGGGTATCAAATGGTGTTCTCCATACTTGAGCCTTTACCCCGTCTAACAGGCCAGCCCCACACCCACTGGAGATGGTGGTTACTGGGTTCGGAGGGTGGAGGGGCTGCAGGGGCAGCACGTTGGGTGTTGGGGGCCCCGTGTGGTGAGTGCCCTCCCCCGTGAGGCAGTAGCCATGGGAGCCTGGCCCTGGGGGGGCGCCTGGACCCACCGCTGGGCATGGGCGTGGGCTCGGTCACCAGGTTACACTACTGCCTTGGACTCTGAAGGGCCTTTCTGGGTGACCTGCTGCCCCGGGACAAAGCTCGAATGCACCGGGCACGGTCCAGCCTGGTCAGCATCCGTCCACAGGGCCCGCCGCCTGCCCCGGCCGAGCTGTACCCGCTTTTACATAGTGGGGCACGTGTGAGCTTACTTCAAACGTCACCCCTAGCTTCCTGCAGAACTGATCTGCCTCCTTCTGCTGGGCTCGAACTAGTTATTGATTGTTAATCCTCACCCAACGATATTTTTTCCACTGATTTTTTTTTTGAGAGAAAGATGGAGGGAGAGAGAGAAAAACATTGATGTGAAGGAGACACATCAATTGGTTGCCTCCCACACTGCAACCTAGGTACATGCCCTTGACTGGAATCGAACCCGGGACCCTTTGGTCCACAGGCCAACGCTCTATCCACTGAGCGAACTGGCCAGGGCAGGGGTTTGAACTCTTAACCGGCTGCTGCTGCTGCCTACAGGGCTCCTTGCGGACTGCACCCGCCCAGCAGGGGGAGCTCTTCTACCTCGAATGATCCCAGGCAGGCCCTTCCGTTCTGGCTGCTGGCTCTTCGCCCAACAGATGAAGTAGGTGCTCAGAGGGCCTGAGTGCAGGTGGCGGGTGGTTGTCCTTTCACCTCCTGTCACCCGGAGGGCAGGACACACTGCTCGGTCCGAAAGCCGGCCCAGGAGCCCATTCCTCACCAGCAGGACAGACCCCCCCACCCAGAGAGAGAAGGTGGGGGGCTCCATCAGTTCATGCTAGAAGCTTCCTGTTCCTAAGTCACTGTCTTCTTCCATTGTCAAGGTCAGGCGGCCAGGAGGGCGTCTTTCTAAAGCAGACTTTACCACACCTGTGTCGCTGTGTGTGTGTGTGTGTGTGTGTGTGTGTGCGCGCACGCGCGCAGGTATGTGTGTGCGCAGGTGTGTGTGTGCACGCACGCGCGCAGGTATGTGTGTGCGCGGGTGTGTGTGCGTGCGCGCGCGCACGGGTATGTGGTGTGTGCGGGTGTGTGTGCGCGCGCGTGCGGGTATGTGTGGGGTGTGTGTGTGTGTGTGCGCGCGCAGGTATGTGTGTGTGCGGGTGTGTGTGTATGTGTGTGCGCGCACGGGTATGTGTGGTGTGTGCGGGTGTGTGTGTGCGCGTGCGCACGCGGGTATGTGTGGTGTGTGCGTGTGTGTGTGTGTGCGCACGCGCGGTATGTGTGGTGTGCGGGGGTGTGTGTGTGTGTGCGCGGGTATGTGTGCGCGGGTGTGTGCGAAGCTACACATCCACCTCCTAAACGCTGAGTCATAGGAACGAGTTGAACCCTGTGCTCGGAGCGACGGAGCCGTCAGCACTCCCACAGTCAAGAGACGCGCAGGCACGGGCCCTGCCACCAGCCGGTTCTCCCTGCTGCCCAGAGCCCGCCGTGGTCAGCCCATGTGACCATCACATGAAACGGAGGTGACACAGCTTCTGAAAGGCCCGTTACACCTTTTCAAGGACCCAGCGGCCCACGTGGAGTTCTCGCCGCTCTGCTGGGTGTGCTTGGAGACCGAAGTCCAGGTGCGGTTATTTAAAAAGCACGAAACTCAGAAAATAGGCCAAAATAAGAAGGCAATGTGGAACAGGAAAGCTCACATAGACTTTTTAAAACGTTAACTATACAGTCTTTTATTTCAAGGTTGAAAAAAAACCCTTAAATAACTAGGAAACTATTTACAGGATTAATTCCGCTTTAAGCCGGGGACTGGCTGCGAAGGCACTCAGGGTCCCTGCTGGGTCAGCGGGCGGTGACGGACAGGCGCCGGGACCTGTGGGGTCCAGGAGCGGCCGGCTCCTGCCTGCGGGTCCGACGGGGGAGCTCACTGGAGCGCCAGGGCCACTTGCCAACAACGAATGACAGGCCGTTTTAGTGTTTAAGAGGAACCACTTTGGGGGGATATCTCTGTCGAATCATTCGTAAAATCGTACAATTAGAAAATTCTTAAAGAAACAAGTAAACGTGTCTTCCCCAACAAGGTGCACTTGTACCCCCAGGCCGATGGCCCTGTCCACAGTGGGCACTTGGAGTCCTGGGCTTGGAAAGTCCTGACAGGAGCAGGTGAGCGGCTGGGCTCAGTCCCGCTCCAGCTCCCGCAGGCCGGGTGGCGTGGGCTTGGTCCCGCTCCAGCCCCCGCAGGCTGGGCCGACAGCGCTTTGGGTCAAAGTGTTGTAGGAGCGCCCTCTGCTCTGGAGAGCGCCCTCTGCTCCTGCTCTGGAGATGAGACTTCAGATACCGGTTCCCAGGCATCGTCCTCGGCTGGGCTGTCCTGGTCCAGGGCCTCCAGCATGTGCTGAGCCGGGTCCTTTAAAAACTGAGAGAGGTGGACACGACACCGCAATGAGTTTACCAGCTCGAGACCCCAGACCTCGGGCTCTGGTCTCAGTCGGCACCGTCGCGTGTTCCTCAGGTTCACTTCTATTCTGGCCCCGAGGGACCACTTCCAAACCCCGAGCACCACTCAGCCCACGCCCGCCTGGCCGCTCTGACCGGTCCGACCCTGATGGTGACCAGGGGGTTCTCTCTCAGGACAAGCCGGGCCGCCCGCTGCACTGGGCGCGTTGTGGGGACTCATCCTAGCACAGTGATGGCGAACCTATGACACGCGTGTCAGAGGTGACACGCGAACTCATTTTTTTGGTTGATTTTTCTTTGTTCAATGGCATTTAAATATATAAAATAAATATCAAAGATATAAGTCTTTGTTTTACTATGGTTGCAAATATCAAAAAATTTCTCTATGTGACATGGCACCAGGTTAAGTTAGGGTTTTTCAAAATGCTGGCACGCCGAGCTCAAAAGGTTCGCCATCACTGTCCTAGCAGGTCGCGGACTGGTTCCCAGCGAAGGAGCACGCGGGACCTCTCGGTCGGCGACAGGAGAGCAGGCTCGCTGGCCGCCCGGAAGCAAATACCTGGATGTATTCCATCAGCTTCTACCCTACACGTCCCGACTGACCTCAGAGGGCCCGGCCGCCTCCCAGAGCCTCGGGGGCTGGGGCTGTGCAGGGAAACAAGATTTCCTCAAGGGCCCCAGCCTTTCTGTTGCAGGCCTTTGCCATACTAGTAACACCCTTGAGCCCGGGTGCAAAGCCTTGTGCTCACAGCTCTGGGTGCGTGCACTCTAGAAAAACCCCCAGTGCACACGTCTGCCCTGAAACGCACGCTCCTGCCTCGACGTCTGTCCCTGCTGCTCACATCCCAGCCAGGCCCCCCAGCGTCCCCCAGAAAGCACAGGCGCTGTGTTGCCTGAGAGAAGGCCCTCCTGCCTCCAGCTCCTGGCCAGGTCGCCGTTCTGGCTGACCCGGTGCCATTAATTTTTTTAAATTGTGGTAACATACACAGAACGTAAAAGCGATCACCGCACCGTCTTTAAGCGTACGGCTTAGCAGTGTCGAGTACACCGACATTGTTGTGCAACCACCGCTCCCCTCCATCTCAGTAACTTCCATTTCACAGAACAGACACGCTGTCCCCACTGAACGCAAACTCGCCACCCCCCTCCCAGCCATCCCCACCCTTCTCCACTGTCTGTGAACTTGAGGACCTGAAGTGCCTCACGCCAGGAGTCACGTGTTTTTCGTCTTTCTGTGACTGGCTGGCTCCGCTCACTGGCCCGATGCCCTCCAGGCCCGTCCATGCCGCAGCGGGTCAGAGCTCTTAAGGCGGAGCGGTGTTCTAGTGTGTGCGTGTGTCACGTGTTTATACCCCCCCCCCCCGGGGCTGTTGTGAATAGGCTGCTGGCACGCGGTACAGAGCCCGCACCTCCTCTCTCATCTCTGTCCCTGGTCGTCCCCACCCGTCAGCCTCCCACCGGCGCGCACGTACCTCTTCTATCTGCGCCGGGATGCCGGGCGGGGAGTGGAACCAGTACTTGATCAGGCCCCGGAACCTCAGGATCAGGAAGACGCAGGCGCCCACCAGCCCGGCCAGCGACAGGAAGGTGGCCACAGCAACCAGGACCACTCGCTGCAGCTTGGTGGAGGCTGAAGAGAGGACACGCGGTGACCGAGAGGACCGGCCCCGTGACACAAACATGGGGTCATCTCCTGCCCACGTGTCCCTGTCCCAGGGGCCCTCCCCGCCCCACATGCTCAATCAGTAGCTAGTGAGGCAGCCCCAAGCCAAGCCAAGGCTGGGGGGGTGGCTGCTGACAGCCCTCAGCACCAGCTCGCTCCCCTCCCCTCTGGCTCTCCCCCTACTATCGCCCTTTCCCTATTCCGTGCCCCCCAATTTCACTATTTTAGGGGCATCCTTTCCACAGCTCAGAAAGGGCACCAGAAGGCACATCTTACCGTCTGCTGAGGTCTCATGACAAGACACGTTGCTTAAGCGCCCGGGCCTGCTGAGTTCCTGGGATTTCCAGAGCAGGTGGGCCTGGACCTGGAGGCAGTACTCGCTCAGGGGCTGCAGGTCCCGCAGCACGATGGAGCTGTCCCTGAAGGGGCCTTCCACCTGCAGAGGAGCCCCGACAGCCCAGTGAGCCCCCCGACAGACGGCAGCCATGGTCCCCTGCTGGGTCGTTCCTTAACCTCACAGTGAATGGACGGACGGGACTCCGAAGAGCAAGGCGTGCGGCTCTGAGTGCTCCCCGGCCGGCAGTGGGCAGGCTTTTTTTTTGGAGGTAAAATGAGCTTTATTGGGATTTTACTTTGGGAGCAATTTAAGAGATTTTTAAGAGCAAATTTGATACAAAACGTTTTACCTTATAAGGTGACTCAAGTACACGATCCCAAGGAGAATGTTTTAACTCTACATTCTTCTTACTTTTCAATTTCCAAGTTAAGATGATAAAAAGCAAATGCTTTGTGGAGTGTTTCTCACGAGCTGATTTCAGATGTTCGTTCCTATGACACTGTGGCTAGAAAGCCCAGGTGTTCTGGCTTTAAACACCCCGTTTTCCGTCTACAGGAACCACTGCTTCTGTGAGGCTCAGCAGTAAGAGCTGGTGTCGGCCTGGCGCAGAGACGCTCTGACCGCCGTTCAGCGCCGCGGGAGGGGGCACCCAGCCCGGGAGGAATGGCCAGAGGCACGTGGGCAGGCGCGGAGCTGGGCGCACAGCTGCCTGTGACAGGCCCGGGCGTGAGGACAGGCGCCCGGCTTCAGGGCTGCTTCAGGCCGCGAGGCCTCCAGGCCCAGCGAGACTCACAGACCCAGCAGCGGGGGTCCGCACGGGAGCTTCCCAGTTCCCAGAACCCCGTTTTCTCCTTTAAAGGGAATTCTGTAGCCGGTGGTTAATCTAACTGGATACTCCGAGTTAGTCACAGAGAAAAAACCATTCTGGGAAAAAATGTGCGTTTAGTTGCCAACCTGCGTCCAGATTTACCTAAAACGTGCTGATTTCTCTTGTAGTTTTGGGGGAAATGACCTTAGCTATTTATGTAACCGGCTAACAGCTGGACCCCGTCTCAGAGGCTTCTGGCTGCTGCCCCTGCCCCCCAGGCTGCCGCCCGCAGGCCTCCACACCTGGCCCTAGTCCGTGGCCCTCCTGGTCCTAGACAAGGCTGTCCGCTCCGCAGGGAAAGGAGGAAGGGACGCCTTGGTGGCAACAGGGGCTCCTTCAGGCGCTGGCTGCCCTCTGGCTGTGAGACAGTGGAAGGCACGGCAGCATCTGAAATGGGGTGACACGGCCCGGCCTGGGGAGAGGAGCTGCTATGGCGCTGATTGAAAAAGCAGGTGATCCATCGTGCCTAGAACACGCTCTCATTTTAAAAGATACAAAGTAACGGTGTCATTCAGGAGTAGTAGGGCGACAGGTGATTTTAATTCCATTTTCTTCAGGTTAATGCTGATGGGCTGCCAGGGCACAGGGGAGCAACTGCTTCGGATGCCACACACAGCACTTCTAAGGACAGAATCCCTTTAGGGTTCTTTCAGCAGCCAGGCTGGCATTTCTCAAACTTAGAACCACGGGTGCAGAGAAGAGCTGGCATTCAGGCCAGAGGCCGCTGCCCGAGGACAGGCCTGCTGCCCGCATGGCTGGCCCTGGCTGGTGCTCGGTCTGCCCTGCCCCGACCCCACACTCATCAGGGAGGCGTGGACAAGGTTTCATGCTAGACACCTGCTTCCTGCCGGCAGTCTGCTCTGGCACGTGCCAGGGAGAGGATGCCGACAGCACCAGCCCCAGAAACCCTGGGCACAGGTCTCCATGAGCTTCCCCGCAGACACTGCACACTCCGGCACCGGGTTGTGACGAGGAACTAAGTGGGTCCTGTGAGCCTATGGGGACAGGACTCCGGACGCAGTGCCTGCTTCCCCCGGGCAGGGCAGCCACTGCTCCCCCTGCTGGCCCTGCCGCGTGTCCTTCCTCTTCCTCGGGGATGCATCATGGCCCGGGAGCCCCCGAGCGGGTCTGGGCAGCTCTTCGGGACCCCAGCAGACCCACAGCCGGGCTGGAGGGGCTGGTGGCTTTCGGGGTCCTCTCAGCTCTCGAGCCTTGCGCTCTGGTTGGAGGGGGGCAGGGCGTGGCCCCCGGTTCCCACGCAGCCGCTTCCCTCCACACCCGAGGAACTGCAGCCCGAGTGGCCCGCGGAGGACCTGCCGCAGGTGGCGGGAGC